GAGAAAGGTGCTCTGGCTTTCTGATGGCAATGAACTGAGCTGCTGCGGAAACGGAGGTGGGCACTCAACATTTGCAATTAAAAGAATACAGCAACAATAATTCTGACATTGGGAAGGAAAGAGAATGAATGTCACCTCCTACAGAGAAGCAACAGCTTTAGACCTAAAGGTAAATGTCAACATATAAGCCCCCTGCCAGTGTTAAAGGATGACAAGAAAGGAACATAACAGCACAGACAAAAGTGAGAACAGAAAGTAGGAAGGGCTCTGTAAAGCTGATATACACTGGTAAAATGGTTTTGTTGTGGTACATCAAAACCTGCATTTTCTCATTATTGGCTGTCCAAGGGAAGAGTCCAAGACAGAGCTGTCCCAGCCTCTGTGCCTATGCCTCTCACAGGTAGAAATCACACCCTGGCTTAATAAGAAATGAGTTCACGCACAGAAAAAACTTGCACTACCCTTATTTTTCCAGTACCTGATTGAAAACAAAATTGTTTAATTGTTGCAAGGAAAGAAAAAACATGATTCTGTAGTTTTCAGTCAAGAACATGAAGTAAACTCTCACTTAGATGTTGTAAGCCTGCATGGAGAACAGCTAAGAGTATCGTTGGCTCAAGAAACTCAAGACCAGTTTTATCTGCTTTCCTTGGGACCAGAACTCCATTTTAGCAACTCAGGCGACTTTTGGCTATAACCCACCAGAAACACCCAACCTAAATAATTCCTGTTTCACCTTAACGCTGCTTTTAATTTTGCCATTTCCATGAGTAGCTGCTGGACTCGGCCACGGTGTTTGCTCTCACACTGCGATGGTTCCCCAGCCTTCTCCTACAATATCCAAAGAAAACACCTGAACAACCTCGCTACAGCATCAGCAGGGTGCTCTGTTGCTCTTCCTGCACCCAACCTTTCTCCTCCCTTCATCCAAGGCCCTGCACAGCTGGAGGAGAAAGAAATCAGTTCTTGACTGGAGTATGTAAGTGCAAAAGCACAGCTAAATAATATCAGGGCAATGGCAAATTTGCAACAAACCCATAACATGGGCTAAAAGTCCACTTTTTGGAAAGAATACAGGGTTCAGGAAATGTTTGAATGTTTGCAGATTGTTTTGCTCTTGACAAACTGTACCCATTGTAATAATTTTCAAGGAATTATGAATCATTAAGACAACTAATTAGAAGGGAGAAATGACTCTGGAAAACTTGAATGGAGGACATTTACGTGCAGTTTTCCAAGAATCCTGGGGCAGAGAGTGATTATTTAGTTCTTTCAGGAAGTGTAAAGAATTAGAATAATGTGCCGTTTTTAAAGACCACTTTGTAAACTGCTGTAATTTTAGCTTTCTCCTTGCTGTGAAATATGTACAAGCAGAGTTTCTTAATTCCTCAGTGACTTTCTATAGAAAGTACTTTAATTATATTAGAGCCTTAAAACTTGTTTTTTTGCCAGAATCTCACATGTGCTAGTAGTACATTTTCCAGAAAAAAGGGACGGGGGGTGGGGAGAGAGAGAGAAGAGACAGACAAGTGATGTCTGGAGCTTTTGATGCTTTCTTGAATAACTTTCCCAGATTCATCTCAAATTTTGTAAATTAGGAAAAAAGGTAACAATCAATAAAACTGCATCTTTTCAGTTGAATGGTAAAACTGCTTTTTTGGAGAATACATTTTTTAAAATTTCAGATTTAGTCTGGATACTAACATAATTTATTAAAAAAATCCCCACAACCAATACCTCCTTTCTCAGACCATTATGAAATCCCTAAAGGTGTCTAAAATTCTTCTTGCTGTTCATGGGAAAGAATGAATATAAAATACCTCAGGAGCTCTATACTCAATTAAATAAGCTCATCTTTATTTCTTTGGCTCATCTAGAGCTTGCCAAGCTAGGTAATAAAAAGTTGACCATCTAAATATTGATGCTAATAATAAAGATGGGCAGGTTTTGGTAGCAGGGATAGCAGGAACAGCTGTAGTCCCTTCATCAATCCTACCCTGCCCACTAAACTTCTAGGAAAAAAAAAAAAGCGGCAAACACAGCTATTTCTGTGTCATTCCAGTTCTAGAGTGCAGTTAAAAACCTGGAAAGGTCCCCACGTCCCTGGGACTGTTTCTGGGTGAGTTAGAGCCACCCACGTCTCAGCACCCAGACTTGGCCCAGGCAGGCAGCACTGTCGGACCAAGGGATGGGGTCTGGGTGGGAAGTCACTTGGTGCCCCTGCCTCCATCTGCCTTTCACACTTGGAGAGCCACATGTGATCTCGCTTACGCCTATGAGTCATTGCATTAGCTTTGAAAAAGTGACTTGAAATTTACAGAATCTGTCCAAGATTTGATTTATTATGTATGTATAATAATTCACCCTCCATCTCACCCCTCTGTATTATGGGATTTTCTTAAAATGAAAATAGATTTCAAAGCACAGGGTTTGTGTACTTAAGCCTAAATATCTCTCAGCTGAATAAAAACTTGTACCTGAAATCTATTGCCTCTTAAGGAAATCATTACTGTGTTACCATAACACAATCTCTTTGTTCAGCAAGTGTGATAAATATCAGTGTATTATCATAAGTCACTGCCAATAACCAAAGCCATTTATCTGAATGTGTCTCTGCCTCCCACAAATGAAACCATCTTACTTTCAAGTTAGCAGTTAAATACTCATTTTACACATAGACATATACTGGCTGCTGAAAAGAATATTCTGAAAACTGCTAACCTGAGAGTCAACATGAGCTTGACAAATGATCATGTTTATGTTCTGTAATTAGTTTAACAGTTGTTTAACAGTTATTTAACCATGAGCAACAGGTTGCTCTGACCCAGAAAGGATGTTCAGCTTTCCTGGGCATAGGAAGATATTTATAAGCAAAAAGACTAACTGTATATCACCTACCACAAATGCTTTAGGTCAGCATTCATACATTAGGAAAAGGCACACATATATAAAACGTAAGAAATGGAGGAAATGTTCCTCTGAAACCAGCTAAGGATGAATATGCTCAAAGCAACACAATAACTAACAGCAATGTAACTCTAACTAATGGTCTTGGTATCTAAAGGATGACACAAATATTTAGAAGAATAAAGAAGCAAAATAGAGCAGAAGACTTCATGCATTGAAAAGGAATGCATGAACCAACTTAATGATAATTCTCAGACCATAGGTCACTGGGGACTATGTCTTGATGAGGTATGTTTAGATGAGTTCATATTCTGAATGAACACCAGAGCAAGTTTGGCTTCCTGTTACCAAAGCAACAGCTTCAATAACTAAACTTGACCCAGCTTGTTGAAAGTCATCTAAGAGTGAACTGAGATGTTATGCTCAGTTTTGGTGATGGAACGATACAGAGACACAACATCCTAGGAGGAAATATTTGGCTCCGTAACATGTGCTCCTGCATGAAAGCAATTAATTTCAAATAAGAGCTTTAAGATTCTCTTTAATTAATGGCTTTCATAACAGGAAAAGACCTTCTCTGGCCAGCATAGCAACACAGTCAAGAGGCAAACTGAAGCAGGTGGTGGGTTTGGGAGGGGAAAGAGAGAGCAGATGTTAGCTTGAAAATTTGGAACACTCTCCAAGTCCCGTAGCAGGAGCCCAGTTTCCATCAATGCATATTGTAGGAGCAATTAATTGGGACCACCCAGACCTAGGATTTGCCAGAATCAAATTTTCCATTCACAGAACATACTTCCGTAAAGATGAATGTTTGTTTAAAATACTTCTAAAAGTCATTCACTTCGTGTTTTTCCTTAAAATATATATTTGCCTTCTGTTTTGTAGATTTGGTGGAAATCTGAACTCTTAGACTATGGATCTGGAGTTTAGGAGAGTGGAAGCTGGGAATCTATCACTTTTTATCAATGTTTATCTACTTGTTTTTTGAGGTTTTGAGCTAATTCTGAATAAAAATTACAAAACTTCTTTCCATTTCAAATTTAAATTCCACTTTCCACCACACTGCAGTAAAGAGTCTTGACTATGACAAAGTTGCTACTTTTCGCATATGTTCTTTCTGTAACATTTTTGATGGTTAGAAGTAGCTTTGGAGACTAAAACGAGATGTGAGTCAGGACTGAGCGGTCAGGGAGCATTTGAGAGCTGATCTGAGACTTGGTCTGCTGACTTCAACCAGGCTGCAGAGTCCAACTGTTTCCTCAGTCTAAGCAGAGGATACGGTTTGAAGGACAGACAGATGGTTGGGCAATGGTGAGGAGCTGGATTAAAATCTCTGCTTTTATAATTTGTGGCCAAAGTTGCCACAGTATCTGCTGGGTTTATCCCTTACCTTCACGTAAATCACAGTAAAGGAAGGAAAACTCTGATTTTGGTACGGTAACAACTTTTGTTCGCTGCTGAAGTCTTCACAGATTCATAGCCATGACCTGCATAAGAAGCACTGTGCACTATGGGCAGTCGCTTGTGCCATCTATACATTCACATCTATCACTTGAAAATAAATTCTATACCTGCTGTAATGCGTCCCTTGCAAATATTTTTCTTCACACTAAAGTATGAGAGAAAATGCAAATCATGCCATAAAATGCTGCAATTCCTGGTTCCACTGAAATCTTTTGTTTGAAAGCTGGAGAGGGACTTTTTACAAGGGCAGGTGGTGACAGGACAAGGGGTAATGGCTTTAAGCTGAAAAAGGGTAGATTTGGATTAGATATTAGGAAGAAATTCTTCCCTGTGAGGGTGCTGAGGCCCTGGCACAGGTTGCCCAGAGAAGCTGTGGATGCCCCTGGCTCCCTGGAAGTGTTCAAGGCCAGGTTGGAGGGGGCTTTGGGCAACGTGATCTGGTTGGAGTGGAGGGTGTCCCTACCCATGGCAGGGGGGTTGGAACTAGATGGGCTCTAAGGTCCCTTTCAACCCAAACCACTCTATGATTCTGTGTGACTCTATATGATTTATTATTTTCCAAGTGACATCAAGGAAGTATAATTTAGATGTGAAGATGTATCCACCAGGGACCCAAAGAAATAGCTTACCTTTTTGACCTCATATTTAATAGCAAGTTTAATCCTGCTCAGACTTGGCCGGTGGTGTTCTGGGCACAGATGTATATTCACATCTCCATTGAGAATCGCCTCTACTTCTTCAGTGTCTCTGCACAGGTCCAGCACCCCCACAACAAAGTCCTTGCATTGCATAGATAGCTTCCTATAGTCGTTCTAGTGGAAAATGGAGAAACACGAGCTATTTAGTCATGCACTTGAAAGCACACCTCAAGCAAACAAAAATAGCAAGCGAGAGCAATTGTGAGCAAGGTTACTTCTGCAAAACTACTGGCTAGAGTAGTAAGAAAGCACTTGATTTCACCCAGGAGATAGCTAGCTTTTCACAAATATACCTTAACTACTCCAGAATTAATTAGCAATGTTTAATCAGCAACAGAGTTTATATTACAATAGAACATGCTTTACAGAACAACAAGTAAATCATTTATAAGGAAATTCTGATTTTAAGCAATCACTTAACCTCTCCTCCTTATGGCTTATCTTTCAAGGAGTTTCAGTCTGGTGTGACAAGCTGTAGCATCACCCACAGATGCGTTCAAATGAATTATATAGTTGTAATACCAACTTCAGCTTCCAATTTATTACCTAACAATCTGGTTAAACAGTCCCAAAAGAACATCCAGAGGATAATTTTTGTCATAACACTTTGGAGAAATGTTATGAAATGGGACTTCAGAAACTCAACATGATTTCCTATGAAAAAAATTTCACCTTGCAAACCCAAATTATACTTACGGGAAAAGAGATAGTATGTAGCTGACTTGATAGAGGGCTAGAAGAGCAATTTCACTGCCTTAAATTAAATTGTGATTGATTTTCACATGCTGACACTTAAAAAATGAGGAAAATGCCACCATCTGAGTAAATGCACTAAATTAGAACACAATTAAGGCTACCATTAATAACCTAACAAAATGGTGACATGAAAGACTCAATGCAACAAATAGAAATAATAAGCATAAGACGAGCTCTTACTGACTTAAGAGATCTTCTCAAATTATGTTTGATGAGTTAATTAAATTCAGCAGCTTATCTAATTAAGCAAGCAGCCAAAAAGAGAAGATAGTTAAACCTGTCTTTGATGAAATGATAAGAGTAACCTGGCTTTGTACTCCTGTATTTTCTAAATTATTAATTCTAACATTTACACATAGCAACATATTAGCTTTCCTTGTTAGGCAGAGATCTCAAAGCACTGTGCAAACATTCATTAGTTAGGTAGAACAGCACTGTCTAAAAAATGGTGTTATTACAGGTGGTTAAACTTCTTTGGACAGTTTTTTTCCCTTCAGAACTGAGATGCTCTTGATAATGAATATTTTTTAAAGAAATTGGTTTAATGGCTTTGTCATAGGTTTGAGGTTGCTTCTAGTGTGTGTCCCAACTTTGCTTACTATGCTGTTCTGTATGCTGAGGGCTATGAAGAGCTGTTCCACTCAGCACAGAAAAATCAATAGTCGCAGGGAACCAGAAAGCCCTTCAGGGCTGGGATTAGAGCGTTCTCACAGAAACAAGATGTCATTTCTGGCAGGCGTTGAGGAGAAGGGGCTGAGGAGAAGAGCTGGGGAATAGTCTGAATTTTAGTGGTGAGACCTTCTGTAAGGTGGAGCTTCTATGTTTACATACTCTTATCTATCAAAAAAGTTGAAATCCGAGTTTTCCTTTTCCTCCTTGAGTGCTGCAATCAGACCGCATGCTCTAATTGGGGTGTTCATAAATGCAGATCGGCAAGAACTTCAAATCTGCATTAAAAGGAGACATACTACAACAACAAGCAGGTGTTTATCTCTGGTAGAGCAGGTGCATGTCCCATTGCAGAAACTGGGGCACCGAGACTTCTGTAAACATGCCAGTTTAGTGCACTTAGATTTAAGATGTCCTTAAAGTTCGGGCAGAAAATGATTGTACAGTTGCATCTATATCTTGTACCAAGTATTTTGTAGAGATAGGGTTTGTAGAGTGAATGTTATCAAATATGGGGTGAAGTAAGGTCTGAAATGTAAATGAAAGACAGATTGTACTTTATGCATTCAAAGCACTCGTCTCTAATCAAGTCTGTGCTTTAATCTTCATGATACCAAGATGAATTTCACTGAATAGAAAGCTTGTCTGTTTACTGAGAGAATAGATACCCAAACAAGAATATCAGCCTGGAAATAACTGCAGGATTTGTGAAGGACAGCAAATATAGATAGAGCTGAGAATAGATGTAGGCTGGGAATGAAATACCTAGTTGCCACAGGTAATGGAGACACATAATTAGCCCAGCAGGTTTAAAAAAAAACAAAAACAAAAACAAACAAAAAAAAACACCAAAAAACAAACCCAAACCCCCCCGCAAAAAAATGAGGGTGAGAACTTTAATTTAACTAAGCTTTAATACCATTCTCTACATACTGTTTGCAAAGTTCACAAGCTTATCTCTTAGCCAGCACATTTTAGGCAATTCTCGTCACCATTTCCACACCATCTGAACAACTAGTATGTATTAACTCAGATTATTTTTCCTCTTCTGCTTTCTTTAAGGAAAGCAGTTTAGTTAGCAACTAGGAAAGTACTTCTAAAGCAACTGTAAATGGCAGGCTTCCAGCTGGCAAACGCCATCAAGACCCAACTTTATTCACATCTCAAGCCTAATGTTTTTACTGATTCTGTACATTTGCAGAGACTATGAATAATTTTTCTGTTCAAACTTATTTACTCCAATTTGTAAGTAGGCACAAGCAGCAACGCAATCTACCCAAGATACAGGCTGTATAAAAAATAAAATAAAATAAAATAAAATAA